CAATAATCGAGATTGACACAACTCCATATCTCGTAATTGATCGGATCATATTGACGAAGGGATTATAGTTTCACGGTAAACGAACGAATTTGGTTTTGTCATACCACGTGACATTTCCCGTCACATGTATTGCCCTGATACATTGCTAGATGTCAATTAGGGACGGCGAATGTGAATTGACGATAAATTAAAAGAGTGTTTTAATTTATCAATTTTGATTAGATTAAAATAATATTTCACGTTGTTAGGCATCGTGGTCGGGAACCTAATGGGTCACACACAAAAGAGAATTGGAAGATTGCAAATTGCCAATTGGTTAATTTAACAGTCGTTGGATAAATTAATTAATTGGATTTGTTATTTATATTTCCGAATTAATTAATTGGATTAATTAATTCACGGACCGGATTTAATTAATTGAATTAATTAATTATTGGACCGGACCGGGCCGAGCCTGTTTGGGTTTATATAAATACATAACTAGGGTTTGAGGTCCATAAGATTTTTATTATCCTGCTGGCACAAGAGAAAATCTTAGAGGCTGCAATCATATTCTCTGTGTGGATCACCGTTGGAGGCTGGACAATTGGACAGCTGTGGTGGCGAATCAAGGTTGTGGAACGAAAAGAAAAGCAAAAGGATTGCAAATCTGAAAAATGTACAATCTTATCACAATTTCTATCTAAACACAAAGGCGATTCTTGGTGGGAATCGAAAATTATTTTAAATTCCACTGTGTATGTATAAGTAGATTCCCAACACTTCCGTGCCTCAGTTTTCCACCGATGACCACAACAGAAAAGCAAAGACCTTAAAGATGGCAAACAAAGAATTCCTGTGGCACTATTATCCCAAACACATGGAAAGCAGGTTCATCTCTAATGTTCTGCCCCAAATCTTCGTATGGTTTGATTTTGTCTTCCTCTGGTTCGAATTAGTCCATCTTCCATGGAAATAAGTGTTTTACGTCCGTGGTTTGTGTTCTGATATTCTCAACAATTTCAATTTCTCACGTACTGGCAGTGCGTTCATGTGGTAAGATTAGGCCACAAACGAATAGATGTCATTATGTGCCAATGTAGAAATGCTTTGTGCTTCGTTTTTTGAATTGTGAGCTTATCATTTTGCACTTTTCCATTGCAATATAGCATTGGTAGCCCAGACCACTTCGATCGTGCATCGTCACACCCGTTGAAGCTCCAGCCTGTTGTCCGTAAGTCTGAAAAAGGGACCCGCCAAAGTACAAAATCTTCATTGCCACCTGTGAAATTGTCAATGCCGAAGGTGACGAGGCAAATGCTTCTCGATAAAAGGATGACACGTATCAATGAATTGTTCAATAGCTCCGTGGGAAAAGAATTGGAAAACCTATTGAAATAAACTGCGAACGGAGCACAAGCAACTCTTCGAGCTGCTGCAATGCATTGGTATTAAGTACCTCTCGGACACGGGTAAAATCGTAGCCCCTGAGCAGTGGTGGAAAGCGAAATTGAGATACCGAGTTGTTTTCCCTGAGGATTATTCCACTAATACTTTGTTTTAGAAATGTACATCAACAATATTTCCATTCAAAATCAACAAGTCATTTCATCCATGCATTTGTTCGGGTACAAAAACTGCTTGATTTATGCTGTGAATAGATGTTACAAAGCATATTACGTTTAAGTACTTAGTCGAAACTATTGTCGTTTCTATTTCTCTGTGTTCGTTACTTTCAAGATAAAATCGTTTGTCCCTACTACTTGAGGTTACTGAAATGCATTGTGTGAAACGTGTTCTTGTGCATCAAACCTTCCCCAAATGTGTATGTACATATGTTGATTGGCTACTTGTATTTTCAGAATACCATTGGTCAATTATGTGCTATGGAATCGAATGCCTCAACATTTTTAGTTTTAACCTTGTTACTACAAACATATCTCTCGAAATTAAAAACATGTGCAAAATGAAAACTAGAGAATTTACGTTTTTTCAGAGCTGAGCTATCGAAATCACTAATAATTTACATTTTCTAGAGCTAGCAATAATTCACAAATACATTATTGCTTTGTTTCCTACGTTCCACTCCATTTCCCTTTATGTCCTGCACGAGGAATGTTAACACTGTTATGTATCTTTTTTCGTTGTCTAAACGTTATTTCTCGTGCTCCTCGTTAATTTAGGAGAACCGAAAATATGCGAAGTACAAGGACATCGATTGCAGTGAGATTTATGACATGTATGGTAAATTGTTTGGCGACGCTTGTGATTCAACGAAGTATGCATTGTCACCAACAAAGTTGTTAGAACAGGGTTTTCACTTGGGCACAGATATGATAGAGATCATGGAGGCGACAAATTATCCATCAATGCAGAGAAAATGAATTCTAGTGACAACCCCATCGAAGATAGGAGCTACTCCTCTATGAATATATTTGGGAAACACAATGGGTTTAAAAGGAAATGCAAACATGGGAAGGAGAAAGGAAAGAAAAAAAGTACGATGATAGAGAGGTTTTTACTTCTCTTGAGCAAGTGGTTAGTATTGGAACAGATCTTGCCTCAATTTGCAAGATCTCATCAAAAGGCAGAAATGTCGATCGACAAGTACGTGAGCGAACTGCTGTCGTCTGGGCCTGTAGATGATGAGGTGTTGCTCCACCTGTTTGCGCTGTGGATCCTACGTGTAAAGGAAAATGGGAACTCGTACTTTGCTGTCAAGACACCACACATGAGGTTTAAGTTTGTCAAGTACTGCTTTGAGCTCAACAATCAGTCCTTTCCGCACAAGGGATGAGCGCTAATCGACGTATGTGCACACGGGGCTATTCATTTTATGCACTTTTTTCGTATTTTTACATTTCGTATGTTGGACATCTATTTATTTCTTGTATTTTTTTGAACGGCATGTGTAACATTTAATTTTGGAACGTGTTTGTAATGTGTACATTAACTAGTACTCATTTCCTGCTTGACAAATGCTTGCTTTTAAAAATTAGGAGCTTTTATAATAATCCAAAATATTGGCTATGAGTGCTTTTGCATGGGATTTAGTATTGTAAAAGTTGATATTGCATTGATGGAATGTAATTGGTCCAAAGGCCCATTATTACTCAAGTTTCTTTCTATAAATGAGATAGAAACCTAATTCACATATTCTAACTTCGGCAGAGTGCTAGGAACCAAATGCAATAGAAGAAAACAAAATACTCGTTAGAATAATTGAAGATTGTTTGTAAGTGCTGCCTTTCATTTTCGTTTTGGAATTCACTACCTTCGTAATTATATATTGTCCGTGCCATCAAACAGATGTCGGACTACTTGGCAGTGTACTCATGTTCGAAAACAGATTGCTACATCGAATATATGTCTGATTTCGATACGAGTTTTGAAGAAGATGTGATGCAACAATTGGAAGAGGACATAATCATGTGGCTTGAATGTGGTAGAATAGCCGAGTGCGAGTATTTGGCTCCGAATAGAACGCTTCGGTATTTGTTTCCCACAACGCGATGCGGACACATTTTCATACTACAAAATATGCACATTTATCCACTAACTTGTTTTCTAGAGTTCAGGATGTATCCTCCAATGTTTATATACTTTGCGCATATTTTGTACGACAAAGTCGAGCAGTGCAAACATCGATATATATGAACAAGTAGAAATGTTCTTGTGTACATTGGCACAGGGTAAAGACTATTGTCAAGTTCAAACTCTATTCAGTCATTCATTGCAGACTATCTGTCATTATTTTATGAAGGACCCTTGTGCATGCCTAGCATTCTCAGGGAACATGATAAAACTATATTCGAGGTACAATGAAGGCACATCGCACCATCATCGAATCTAAAGCACTATCTCCTATATTAAGGTTTGCATCGTATAATCGATGAAACGCATGCGAAAACTATTTAAGGAGATTCCAACAGAGAATGTTTTAGGCGTCTGTGATTTGAATCTTTTTTTCACGTTTATATTGTTGGGAACCACAGGTAACGCATATGACAGTTGCATGTTGGCTCAAGCTGTACATAGTTTGGAGTATGGCTGTAAGCAAAAACCGCAAAATCGGAAAATCGAACCGAAACCGCATTTTAGAAACCGTCGGTTTGGTGCCACGTGGACCCGATCAACGAAATGGTTTTGACCCAAACCAAACCGGTCAAAATGGTTTGGTTTAGGTTTGAGAATTTTAATTGCGGTTTAAAATCAAACCGAACCGGTGAAAAAATATATAAAAATAAAAAAATGAAATTTTTTGAAAATTCATCCAAATATGTAAAATTCAATAGTTTTGTCATTTGTGGGTATTTTTGTCAATTCCTAATTTTCTAATATAGATATATTATTATTATCATCATCATCATCATCATCATCCAATAATCCTAATATATATTTAATAATTTTAAGACTAACATAATCTATCAAAAGCCTTTTTCCTCTTCAAAATTTAGATGAACTCCAGTCGACGCCCAACACAGTTTTGAGCCACCGACACTACACACTTCTTTTCAGATTTTTCACACTTCTTCAAAGTCGAATTGAAGTCCATTATACCAAATCGAAGACAAAGAGATTCTAGACCTTCGGTGATAATATTTGCTACAAAGAAAGTTTCAGATCAATAATTTTTTGGAGCAAACTAAGGTAAGAATTTGAAATTAAATGTGTTTCGTAACATCATACAAACGTAAACTTGTGTAATTGTTATGTTTAGGTATTATAAACAATTGCTTTATTATTGTAGTTGGTTATTCTCTTTATTTAATCAATATTTTTTTGTTCAGATATAATGATCACGAGGTCTTGTTGGACATCATTATTTTTTTGGACCTTATATCTAGTTTAGTAGACTTGTATTGTAACGTTATTGTATCGTCATTAACCTAAAAAAGGTGAACAAAAATGAAAAAAAAAACTATGTTTTAGTTTATTGTGATTTCACTTTGATTTAGTTAATATTTAAATTTATAGTAGATATATTTAGTCTTTGTTTGAGCCATATTTTTCATATCATCATAATGAGAAAATTGACTATTAGAGAGGAGGTTGGGTCCCACACATAAAATAGCAGGTTAACAAAGGCGGCTGGACTTGTAAAATAACAATCCAAATTTTCATTTTTTTGTCCTAAAAATTTGATTCAAACAGGAGCTTAGTTTGTTTTAGATTTATTACTAGTGAGATACTAATATATATTAAATTCAATGAATTAATGACATAAAAGTAGACGGGCAAAAAAATATATGGCGAAACGGGCGGTTTAAAATCGGACCAAACCGTTAGGTTTAGGTTTGAGTTTTTTTCAAACCGTTCAAAATGATTTGGTTTAGGTTTGTGTTTTTCTCAAACCGTTTTAAATGGTTTGGTTTGAAAATGTCAAAAACCGGTAAAATCGGACCGCTTACACCCCTAGTTTGGAGGTCAATTTTTCACAACTTGCGGATGAAAAATATTACTTGGTCGACTCCGATTCACACATAAGCCTGGGTATATAACATCTTATAAGGGTTATGATATTATATATCATTTTCAAGAATTTGGCAATTCTGGAGATGGGGAACGCCTCCGTTTTTGAAATGCACGTGAACAATTTAATTTTCATCACTTCTCATGCCGTAACGTTATCAAGGGTGCGTTTGGTGTTTGAAAACAAAAATGGAAGAGTGCAAACTGTCGTGGTTACGACCATAATAGGAATACATAATTTCTTATGGAGAAACGGTTGGCTGAATGAGGGATTTATGAGAGACGAAGAAGTGGACGACGATGAAGCTGAGATAGACCTATCGAATGAAAAAGATGAAATTGCTGTCGAACAAGATGCAATGGTTGAAGAGGATATGCCGTGACAACTACTAGCTACTGTACACTTATATGGCACAGACGCTACGTCAAAAGTTTTGCAATGCTTTTTTTTCGTATGTAATATGTATTCATAATTTCGCTAAACAATCAAGTGTCGAGGAACACTTCTTCATTTTGTCGTATTTGAGCATGTATATTTTCTGGTCGAAATTATCGATGTTGTTCATTGAAAATAAATTTATATGCTTCTCGTGGCCTAATGGTTGACATCAATTAAAAATTCCACAAATATGCTTATGCAGACATCTATTATTCAAAATGAATCATACTTTCATATTCTTTAGGAATTTCTTTTCTTGAAAATAAAAAAATTCAACTTAAAAGACCAAACGCATGTGCCATCCTTTCTTGTCGGGGAAGCCATCCTTATTCTCTGACATGGGGCCCAACATAGTTGAAAAATGGCCCAAAAAAACTTTGTCAAAAATGGGGCCAAACAAAAGCTAAATATAAATTATTAAATACCTGAATTGCCTTTTAAGCCTTAATTCCATGGCCTATTGTCAAAACTAATCACGTCAATTAGTAAACCTTATCATTCATTTCGTTAACTGCGGCGAATTGATTTTTAATTGTGCAGAGGCATAAAATTTATTCTTCTATATGTGTCTTTTTTTATTAATTGCATTTCGTTACACAAATTTAAGCACGTTTCCTCAACTAAGATGTTAATGAGTTTTAAAGATCATTCTAAATTGAATTTTGCTATTTGTACACTAATTTTTCGACACTTTGGTTGACACTTGCATTGTTGTCAAGTGTCAATTGGATGAAAAAACTATTTGAAATTTAAACAGTCCAATAGGATAATGACACTGACAAAGTGTAAACTAAAGTGTACATCATAATATAGATGTAGCAAAGTTCTTCTAAATTCTAGTGTCACCGGTTGATAATTTCAATGAAATATGTTAAAATTTAGCCATTTTCAATAAATTGTGAGTTCATAAGGATTTCATTAATAAAAAGATTTCAAAATACTTGAATGGATTTCAATCTTAAAAACACACATAGCAAGCTATTTTGAAATTTCACCATTTTTAGTTTTTGTTTGGTGTGAATTAAATATCAAATTTTTAGTAATTTTTGATAAAAATTGATAAATATGTGGTTGAAAAGTTATGAGATTTATGAAAATATAATTAAAATTGATTGTCGATTTTATCTTAAATTTAAATCTAAATTTTAATCATTATGAAGGAGAGTCATTGAGATTTTTATAATCTTTTAAAATCTCGACGCTATGTA